AAAGAGGACACTTGGAAGAAATACCCCTTGTTCTCACACATGTAACAGCAGATTCATTCCCTAAATAAAATTTCATTTATCTTCTTCTTTGTGTACATTGGAGATGCACAGTGGGAGAAGGAAGAGGTAACTAGTTATGAAAGGAAAAGAAGAAAGGCCCTCCTTTACTTGCACATGCAAAGTGTGGCAGTGCATCCCTCCCATCTTCCAGCCTCAATATATTCTGAAAAATGCTTGCCAAGCCTCGGCCCTAACCAACAGCACCTGGGCTGGACAATTGTTGAGCTTATCAGAAATACCATCTGCTCCCAGGAACCTCTGCTGCCTAATGACCTCCTCCCCATATTTTTTAACAACCTTGGAAACTTTTTTTGCCTGAATAACAACTCAAGGGGAACGATATTTTTGTTCTCATTCTTTCAAAGAAAGTTCCCTATCTGAAGTGTGGCCAAGATGAAACATTGCTGTGACTAAAGGTGACTGTCTTGTGGCCCTATAAACAGTGGTTTAAAATGAGACCCTTTGAGCTGTCCTGTCACAGCGGGCTGCGACCAGCAACCTCCCTCTGAGCAGAGCACCTCTCAGAGCCAGCAAACTCAGGTTTGCTGTACTCAAAGGACTGCCAAATGACAATAGATCTGAGACCCCCAATCCCCGAGGCTCAACCCTTCACCCACTGACAGGACAAAATGCATCTGAAGGGGGTATTCCACTACCTTCAAGGGTAATTTTTCATAGTTACTTTGTACAGACTCTTTATGTCTGTGTGCATGCAAGCATGCATATCAAATGTGGGAGAAATGCTGCTCTCTTTGATTCTTAAGTACTTTAGATTTGTAAGGAAGTTAGGCCTGTAAGTAAATTACTATTGTGATATAGCAAATCCTATATGAATTCTTTGCCAAATTGTTTAAATTTTGAAGTAAATTAGGTGAAATGTTGTTAAGTTTAAGTACTATCAAATTTAAATGCTGTTAAGTGCTATTGGGCCCTTAGGGTTTGGTTTGATTGGCTCTGGATTTTTTTGTTGCTTTTCCTCAGTGTGCCTTAACCATCTAGTAAGTAGTAGATTAAACCTTGCCAACAAATTTTGTCATGCTGCCACTTTTATATTAAACTTGTTCTTACTGATGCCTTTGCTGGCAATTCTTTAATCAATCTTTAAAGAGTCTTTCATGATACAGATGCATAGGAAGAATTTGAGTAGGAAAGAGGAACAGGTGTAATGTGTTCATGGAGAAGTAATTCCCTCAAACAAGGAGAAAAGAGCAGGACAAAAAACAGAGAAGAAAGAAAATAATTTAACCATGAAACATTCTGGGAATGGGAAAGGTGCCCCCAAGGGCTCCACTTTGCACTTGGAAGGAGTGAGGGGAATTGACCAAAGTGCCTGGATACTGGAGGGTCCCTGTTGGCCCTGCAGCCAGCATACTGCCCAGCTGCTGCACAGCCTGCCTTGCTTCCAGCCCTTTCCCCAGTGGATCTCTGTCAGTGGAGAACATGGGTGTAGAACCAGCAAGCACTTAAGAACTTTTTGCTGAGAATGGAGGCTCAAACCAAGATGTCTCTTCATTATTGGTTCCTTACTCAGCAGCACAGAATTTTTTCTGTGTGCCCTTCTTCTCCTTTTTCCTCCATTCATCTTCTTCTCTTTTTCCCTACTTTCATCTTCTCCTTTTTCTTCCTTTCATCTTTTTCTTGAGAAAAGTGAAAGTAATGGTTTGTCTCCTAAGCTCTGAATTATTTTCTCATGACCCAATTATGAGTTACAACTACAACAACAATATCCAAAAACCCCTCAAAAAATAAACCAAAAAACTCATAAAAAACCAAAATCAAACAAAAAAAAAAACCCCACCACCCAAACTAACCAACCAATCAAACAAAAAAACCCCAAGTAAATCTTTGTTTTCTAGTTTTCTTTTTAATCAGGCATACAGGCAAGCTAAAGTATGAATGTTTATTAGTTAGTCTGGGTGGATTTCCATAGGATAATAACCTCTTCGTGCTGAATTCTTCAAATCTAGCAAGCAATAAGACTCCCTGACCAAGCCCTGAGAAATTCTGAACTTTTCTGTATTTCAGAGTTGGATTTTTCTGTTTACTGATGATTTTTGTTGTTTTCACTTATACTTACTACAGTCTCTAAAACAGTTTTAAAAAACTACAATCAATATCTGAAGGCTCCTGGGGTAACTGACATACATCCATGCAACTGAGAGCTAGGTGTTACAAACTTTAAAAGAACGCTGCCAAGCAGCTATTGAGCGATGTATGTTGTCACAGCTAGCACTTCCTCTCTAGCAGAAATAAAATAACTGAAGGCTCTTTATTAAACTACTCTTCTGTGTAAAATTATGTATCTTTACTATTTGGACAATGATGCTCTTCTGGTCAAAACTTGATAATCTTTCAGATTTAAGAGAAAAAATTATAATATTCTGAAAATTCAGGCATGAGGAATAAGAGATTAAGCTAACGTAATTTCATCATTGTGATTACGAATGATGGGTCTTTACAGCCTTAACGTTTTGGTCTGCCACATGCATCCCAGCATTTATCTAAGTGTCCCTGTGAACACAATCACACTCCAAAACAGCACAGATGGCAAAAGTATTTCCATACATGTTTTGAAGTTTTCTTCCAAAGGAAGCAAATATTCTTTAGAAATAGGAAAAAAAAAGGAATTGAAATATGGTTTAATTTTGAACCTCTTTTAATATTAAAGTTATGCAAGTTTGATTAAACCAGAAATTTTAACCAAGAGTGAACTGCTCACTGAAGAACAGCTGTGTGTAGTCTGCAGCTGATTTTCCACAGCACTATGCTGTTCCGCAGTCCTTCAGCTCCCTCTGCTGCTTATTCGATCCACAAACTTTTCATATTTGCAGAGAGTTTGTACTTGGTTTTTTTAACATCTGTTTCGATGAGAAAAAAGGATGCAGGATAAAATTGCACCTGAAGTGATGAAATGATTGCTCAAATTGATAAACAGTATGTGCAAAGTTCCATGTAATTACTGTCCCTCCTTTTCTCAGGGAATAGAAGAAGCCCATTAGACCGTCCTGATTGCTTTCTGGAGACTTGCTGTGCATACATTCTGCCATTATAATTTGACTTGGTATAACTGAAAAGTATCCGTTGCTTAAACTGACTTTTTCTGGAAATGCAATTTTATTTCATAGAAATTATTACAGAGAATCAAAGAATCATTTGGGCTGAAAAGATCAGAGTCTGACTGTTAGAGTGACAATGCCAAGTCCACCACTAAACGTGTCTTCTAAATACTTCCAGGGATGGTGACTCAACCATTTCCCTGGACAGCCTGTTCCAATGCTTGACAATCATTTCCATGAAGAAGTATATCCTAATATCCAATCCAAACCTCTCCGGGTACACCTTGAGGTTGTTTCCTTTTGTCCAGTCACTTGTTTGGGAGAAGAGACCAGGCCCCACCTGGCTACAACCTGCAGTAGTCATACAGAGAGATAAAGCTTTCCCCAGACCCCCATTTTTCATTATAAAGAAGCCAAATTTCTTCAACTGCTTTTCATATGACTTGTGCTCTAGATGCTTCATCAGCCCTGTTTCCCTTTTCTGATCATGTTCCAGCACTTCAAGTGAGGGCCTTGAAACTGAGCACAGGATTCAAGGTGTGGCCTCACCAGTGCTGAGTATGAGGGGATGATCATTGCCCTGGTCCTGCTGGCCTCACTGTTTCTGATACACACCAGGATGCCATTGACTTTCTTGGGCACACACTGGCTCATGTTCAGACAACTATCAACCAACACCCCCAGGTGCACCTTTCCAGACACTCTCCCCTCAGCCTGTAGTGCTGCACAGGCTGCCTTTCATAAACCATGCTGGATGGGCCTGACTCCTTGCTGTCCTGTATGTGCCACATCATGGCACTCAAGATTATCTGCTCCATGACCTTCCCCACTTCAAAGGCAAGTCCAACAGGCCTCTAGCTCCCTGGATCCTTTTGACCTTACTTGTAACTGGGCATCACATTTGCTAACCTCCAATCAGCTGTGGCCTTCCCATTAGGCCATGACTGCTGATAAATGATGGAAGATAATTCAGTGAGCACTTCTGCCTGCTCCCTAAGTATCCATGGTTGGAGTCCATACAGCCCCAGGGACTTGTGTCTGTCTAAGTGGTGTTGCAGGTCACTGAATGTTTCCCCTTGGATTCATTCTGCTCCCTGCCCCTGTCCCTCACATCAAGGGGCTGGGATCTCAGAGAACTGGTCTTGCTACTAAAGACTGAGGCAAAAAAGGCATTGAGTACCTCAGCCTTTTCCTCATTGTTACTGTTTCCCCTCCCATCCAATAAAGCATCAAGAGTTCCTTAGCCCTCCTTTTGTCACAAAGGTACTGATTGAAACACTTTTATTTTACGCAATAGCCGGATTAACCTCTAGCTAGGCTTTGGCCCGTCTAATTTGCTCACTGCAAAACCTCATGACATCCTTGTAGTTCTCCTGAGAGGCCTGCCTTTCTTCTAAATCTCCTGTTTTCCCTGAGCTCCTGCCAAAGCTCTCTGTCTGACCTGCTCCAGCCCCTTGACAATTTCCTTCTTGAAGATTGTCCAGCCTTCTTGGACTTCTTTGACCTTCAGGACTGCCTCCCAAGGTACCCTGCCAAACAACCTCCTACACAGGATGAAGTCCACCCTCTGGAAGTCCAAGGTAGCAGTTCTGCTCAGTTCCCTCTTTACTTCTCCAAGAATTGCACAAAATCAAACATTTTGTGTGATTACAGTGCCCAACATGGTCTCCAACTGTTTCACAGTGATCTACTATGAAACATATTATATGTTAAGATACACTATGAAACATACTATATGTTAAGAATTGTGTCTTCCTACCCTACAATTCAATGTTCTCTTTACTAGCAATATTTCCTGTAGATATGTTTGAATAGATTTTCATAATTAAATGTTTGATGTTCACCTATCAAAAATATTAAAGAAAAAAAAAGCAGCTCGTATACTTGTATTTTCTAGTTTTTATTGCTATATTTTTCATTTCTAAGTAGACTTCATAAAGCTTATCCCAGATAGAAGACAAATGTATATAATCAAACTATGTTTTGGTCAAAATACAATATAAATGCAAACACACACACATTAATTAAAGCAGAACTTTGGTATAAAAAACCCAGCATCATACATCATACTGATTAAAATGGTGACTTGAAAAACAGTAAAGGTTAAGGGACTATTAACACATACTATTATGCTGATTTCAAAGCATCTCTGATCCTCAGAGGATTTTGGAGACTCCAGGTCTATAGAGACTGCATGGATAATGGGAATCCTAGAATTCAATGTGTAATTTTCTCCATAGGTATCTACGTCATTATACCCATTTTTTTCTGTTCAGATATTCAGCCATGAGATTATGTCAGTCACTGATGAATTACCCCAGAAAAATAAGATTATGAAATCTCCATTTGAAATTCTGCAAAACTACTGAAAGCACAGGTTTGAAGAACCTGTCCTGAAGAATCGTCCACTACAAGAGGGATGACTTTCTGAGGGATCTACATCAATGCTTAGCCCCAGAAGCAATGGTTCCTATAGGTATGAATTATGCTACACCTGGAAATAAATGCAACCCATACATAGTCCAACACAAACAGAACTCAGGCAATTCAGGCTTGATCAGCTCTCTCAGGTACTTTGTGCATGCTCCGCTTTGTCCTTTGTGAGGACTGTGCTTAGGTTTTAATCTTCTCAAAGTGATGAAACTGATCAGGGAAAGGCAACACACTGTTGTTATCTTCAGGCACTTTGTTCCTGAGTGACACCTTAGAAGCAGCACCAGTGGGCTGGAGATTTATCACATGACTGAATACTTCCCAGGAGGAAACTACAGAATGATGGTCAGATCCAAAACATTGTAGGGATGTGAAATAAATAGGTGGATTGCAGGAGCCCAAGTCTACAGTCAAATAAGGGCCCTGTCAAAGGCTGCCAAATTCTGGAGGTACTTGGGATTACCTCCTCCTTTCAGCCACAACATGTCAGGCTCTTGAAATTGGTGCATGTGCTGACATTTCCCTTCCAGAGCAGTTCAGTGCCTCACTGCAGCTCAAGTCTCACCAGAGTCTGCTGCCCCAGTCAAATTATGTATTGCCCGAAAAAGCTTCATACATTGACAGTCCTCTTGTCACAAAACATTTTGGAACACAGAACAGAAGAAGGCAACACTGATCATCATACCTGGTCCTCCAATACCAGACAACGAGGACATGAGCAGCATATTCAGGGCATAAAGGACTCAAGTCACAAAAGCTCTCCCACCACTGGAAATGATAACCACCCAAGAATTTCAGGAGGTGCTCAAAAGCAAATGTAGCAGTTACTAAATTTTGGGTTTACCCATAGTTATTAAATCTAGAGCACAGAGCTGTAGTTCAGTATCTTTTAAAATAAAGCGATGAAGATTATCAAGTTCACTACTGCGTATCAAAAGACAGGGAAAACTTGAAGATTTTATGGAAAGATTTATTCAGTGGCAACAAAATTTCAGAAACCAAGTCCTAGTCAGTCAGAGTCAAAAAAGCACATTGAATTGTATTTGACGAGTCATTTGGCATACTAAATTATCTTTCTGGAATAAGGTGAGCAAGCACCATTTTTAGTCTTGTTCATTTACCCCATTTATTTTAATGGAAGTTGGTTCACAAAAAATGTCTAAAAAATTAATTAATACGCTTGATAGATTTGCCCTTTCCACGTGCACTGTGGGCATGGACTGTAACTCCAGATGTTACTGAACAATCAGGTATTAATGTAATTCCTCACGTGGCTTTCCCCTCCACCCTTACAAATTAGCAGTATAGCGATCTCTGTTCTGAAAGTCTCTGTAAGCACGTTTTGCATCTGCCTTGCTGTGTGGGATTCTTCCAAAAGGTTCCAGATCATTGAAGCAGGCATCAAAAACTTCATCCACAGCTTTTTCTGCTGTTTCTTTGCTAACTTTTCTAACAGCCAGAATGGAACGAATTGCTCTGTCTCGTACACAAGTCTGAAGTGAAAAAAAAAAAAATCTGTCATTATTAGCGCAACTTTTTTCCACATTTTGTATCCTACTGTATAGGCAACAATTTTGTATGAAAGTAGAGTCAAACAGTGCCTGTAGTAAGCATTGAAGTACATTTTAGTTCCATCCTGTGTAAACAATGCGCTTTAGTTTTCCATGTACACGTAAACCATGAAATAATTAAAAGACATTCCTTAGAATAGAAATTAAAATACAATTTGGCATTATTTGTAGGTATTAAGTATTTGTAAAACTTGACCTGGACACAAAAAAAAGGTTAGAAAGCGACAAACACAAATACCAGTTAGGTTCTTTACAAACTGAAATGCTGTGAAACAATGGAATGACTTCTTTACTGGCCTTCATTTTGATACTTCTCTTCGTGGTAACTTTTTCTTATAGTTTGTTTGCCAAAAGATGAAAAAGTATGTAAACATCATCTACAAGCTAACTGCCACTCTAAAATGAGCAATTACTTGGGTCTCAATCTGTAGACTTCATTACTATTCACAAAAATAATTCCTACAAGACTTAATACACATGATTATTTAGAAACCTTCTCATTTTGCTTCCTTCAGTTTTCAATAACTTTTTAAGAGTGTCAACCACTTAAAGTGGATAAGGTATTTCCACTACATTTCCTGCAATGATTTTATTAGCCATCCATTGTTTGTGGTATTGCTTTAAAACATGACTAAATGTTCAGGGATTTCACTCCAATAAAAATAAGGTGGGGAAAAAACCTAACATTGATCATTAAGGGTTAGTTAAGAGGAAACAGCAACTCCATAGCATCTATTTCTTTTTCTAAAATTTTCAGCTATGAAAGCTCAGAAGGCTAAGACCAAGTAGGTAACATAATAAATTATTATATTTTAATAGCCACAGTTTTTACCTGATGGTGCCCTTTCAATCCAAATTTGAACCTGGCTATTTCATTCATCAAAGTACAGTCTCCACTGAGATTAGCAGCTCGAATCTATTGAGAAAAATAAAAAAATCACAAGATCAGAGAAACACGTGAAAATACAAAGTCCAAGAAATTGTAACAAACATTTTTCTTCTACACTTCTGATGACTGTTGGTAGGGGAGATTGCTGAGGCGACTTTAACTTCTTAAGCACCAGTTACTACCGTACCCTTTACATCCATCTCAGCCTCAGTGAACTACAACAACCTTCAGGCTTCTCCAGGAACTACCTCTCACACATCCCTAAAATATAAATAAATGAGCAGTAGAGATTATATGTATGTATATAGATGAACTGCTAGAAGAATATGGGAAGTAATATTATTCTCCCCAGTCTATATCAGAATCTGTTACAGCAGTCAGGAAGAAAGGCAGATACCTTCCAAAGACTACAGGTGCAATACCAGAAGAGCTGTAACTCATCTGTTTTGCAAAAACCTACATTTAGATGAGCATGTATGCTTTAGCTTAACTGTCTTGTCCTCTACACTAGAATTTCTTCTTCTGCTAAATATTTTATACCCTACACAGTCTGTTAGGAAATGTAAATAAATCCTGATTTCCTATAATTAAGTACCAGAGTGAAAATAAATGCATGGAAAATGTGAAAAAGTAAGAATTAGAAAAGCTGCCAACAAAAAAAGTAGATACCATAAAATTAAGTAATCAAAATACCTGAAATGAACAAATAATCCTGACAAGAGCAAGAACAGGTACAATCTTGATTTATATAAAACTTATGTTTGAGGTTTACATGCTTTATTCTGCACTGCGGAAATGCTTGGATAAAAAAATAAAGTATATGAAAGTTAATAATTAAGAATTATTGTATTAGGTTTACATGGCAAAGTGTTGGCAGTGAGGGGCCTCCCAGGGTGGCTTCTGTGAGACTGTAGAAATGGCTGAGCTTATGTCAGACAGAGGCTGTTTTAACTGGTTTTAAAACAGACCCACCATTACTGGTGCTGGTTGTATCTCTCTGATGACGCATTCAAGAAAGGACTAAAAAACCTACAAGGCAGCTGTGAGACGGAGAAGTGATGAAAATGTGAGGGAAACAGCCCCACAGACACTGAGGAAGGATGGGGAGGAGGTGCTGCAGGTATCAGAGGAGAAGACCATGGAGACAGAGGTTGTCTCCCTTCAGTCTGTGAAGGAACACAGTAGAGCAGATATCCACACTGCAGTCCAAGGAAGACATCACGACACGAGAGACAAACATGCCCTGAAAAAAGCAGCAGCCCATAGAGAGCCCATGCAGGAGTGCATTTTCTGTCAGGAACTGTGGGCCTTGGGGGACCAATGCTGGAGCAGTCCATTCTTGAAAGACTGTATGCTGTGGAAAGAACTCAAGGTGGAACAGGTCTTGAAGAACAGCAGCCCAAGGGAAAGACTAATGCTGAAGCAGCTCATGAAGGGCTGTATTTCGTGGGAAGGGCCTCAAGCTGGACTAGGGAAAGAGAGCAAGGATGAAGAAGCAGCAGAGACAAAGTGCTATGAACTGACCACAACTCACATTCCCTGGCTCCCTGTGCCACTTGGCAGGGAAGGAGATAGAAGAATCAGAAATGAAAGAGTGAAGCTGAGCCTGTGACAAACTTTTCTGTGATAAAATGATATGGATTACACCAGAAATCAAATAAAAGCATGCAGATTCATACACACAACACCTGTGTCAGATACACAAGAGGAATCCCTCCCAGCTTGTGCTCCATTTAATTTCACCTCCTGAAGAGTCAAATGTTACGGCCCTTAACACTCAAACGTCCTCTGAAACCACAGAATCATAGAATGGTTTGGGTTGTAAGGGGACTTAAAGATCATCAAGTTCTTATCTCCCTGCCATGGGCAGGGACACCTTCCACTAGACCACGTTACTCAGAACCTCATCCAGATGTGATGGATTCATAACTACAGTGTACTAGCAGCAATACCACAATTACTCAAAAAAATGAATGTTACAGGAAAAGACAAGTTTGTTATTAATCAAAAAAACCTAAACAAAACCAAGGTTACTGTGATAATCACCCAACATACCATGACTTGCATGGGATAAAAAGAATTCTATAAGCATTTGATTACCATGTGAATGTGTTTTCATTTCTAACAACTCTCTTATTTGTCAATAACCATTTCTTACACTCACAGTGATCACATTCTACTTAGTATGACATTAACTAACTAATATTTGTGAAAATTAAGTATTTGTTTTCCGAACAAAACTATTTAGGTTGACCTGACAGAAAGGACAAAATGTATTAACAGGATTAAAACAAATTAATTGTGTGTAACAGACCACGTAACACAAAGCAGCCCTAATAACCAGTAATAATTAATAAAATGACAACATTAGAAGCATTTTAACTTACCTCTGAACATGCTAAGTGTTTGACATTTTTAAACCAGTCAACATGTGCACGGCAGTGATCAAATGCATGAATCAATTCATGTGTGACCACCCGGTTCATATGGGACTGTTGGCGAATGTTGTTCTGACACAGAACAATCTGCAGAAGAAGAGATATAGGTAGTCCTTTCACTAAGTTTCAACATCTCCCTTACTTCTAAGAGGCACACCACAAGCAGGATTTAGGGTCCTTGGATTGATGTTTTTCAACAGTAACAGCCTTATCATACTGAAGTGTACTAGTTCCAATGCCATGGAACATCTTTCATTTCTCTTGTTTTCATAATTAACTCATGTATCAGTATGGGTAGAGTTAATCCCAGCCATAAAACACTAAAAAAATTGTGGTCCTTTGAAAGAGTACTATGTCCAGCACCTACCTGAGATGTGGCAGCATCAAAACCTCCACTGACACAGCCATCACAGTTTTCACAAGAAAAGTGCCGGTCATTGAAGACAGTGCTGAAAGGCCCAAACAAACAAAGTCACAGAAAAGAACTTTAAAAACTTCAGTCACTACTTATTACAGTGACATTAGTACACAGAAAAAGACAAATTAGTTTACATACCAACCGGATTGCTTCAGAGCCTCAAGAAGAAGTCGAGCATATGGATCTAGAAAAACATTGCTGTAATCAATTTCTCTAGACAAAAGTTTTGAAAATCATCTATAAACAAAATATAAAGACAGTCAAGGAAAAATCAAGAAAAGCTCTATACATGCAAATTTATACTTTGCAATATTTAATCCTATTGCAATGCAACTGGCATCTGTTACAGATCAGCCTATGTGATATAGAATCATAGAAATGTTTGAGTTGGAAGGGAGCTTAGAGATAAACAAGCTCCAATCCCCCTGCCTTGGGTAAGGACATGTTCCACTCGACCAGGCTCCTCAGAGTCCCATCTAACTGGGCCTTGGAATACGCTCAGATGGTGCAACAACAGCTGCTCTGGGCAACTGTCCCAGTGCCTCACCACCCTCACAATAAAAAATTTCTTCTGTGTATCTAGCCTAAATTTGCCCTGTTGCAGTTTGAACTCGTTATTCCTTATCCTATCACTGCAATTCCTGATGAGGAGTCTCTGTCTGGCTTCCACGTATGCCCCTTCAGCCACTGGAAGGCTGCTCTGAGGTTTCCATGCAGCCTTTTCTTCTGCAGGCTGAACAGCCTGTCATTGTAGGGGAGGTGCTGCAGCCCCTTGACCAACTTGAAAGCCCTTTCTAGACTCACTCCACCAGTTCCATCTTCCTCTTACGCACCAGACCTGGCTGCAGTACTGCAGGTGGGGTCCCAGGAGAGCAGAACAGAGGGGGAGAATGACCTCCCATGACCCAGTGGCCATGGTCTTTTTGATAGCCCAGAGCACAGAGTAAAAGCTGTTCAGGAATCAAGTCACTCCTGACATTATTTTATTACTAATAAACATAAATAGAGCAGCCTATAGTGGCCATCGTTGCTTGCTGTCAACACGCACAGTCCACATCAAACAGTGCAAAGGGCATAAATGCACAGACATTGACAAATCATCTCAATTTCTCAGGAAAAAAAAAAAAAAGCAGCACAGGAGAGCTTCTTATAAGAAAAAAAGCCTCTCTCTGCCACTTTCGAAATTTTGTTTTATCTTAACCAAAATCAGCGTGTTCCTAAATCGGCAGCCGCACCCCGCCACCGGCTCGGGAGCAGTCCGGCGGCCGCGGGGGTGCTGCGGCAGGAGGGCCGGGCCCTCCCCGGGACCCGCGGCACAAGGTCACCGCCGCTGGCGGCCGCGGGCGGCCCGGGCTCCGCCTGGCACCTCTCCCGCGCCAGGCTGGGCCTGCGGGAGGACGGGGAGCGCTTACTCGTTTCTAGGGTCAGCCTCAGCATCAGCTGACACTTGTTGTGGAAGGTGAAGAGGCTGCGGACCAGGAAGCTCTGCGGCTTCTTATTCCGGTCCGGGAAGAGTCGGTAGCCGAAATCCTCCTCCTCCTCCTCCGCCCCTTTCTTCTCAGCCGCCGGCGGCGAATCGGCCTCCCCCTGCCCCATGTCCGGCAGTGCGGGCCCGCGCCTGCCGGGGCCGCGGGGCCCGGGGCCGCGCCAATCGCCGGCCGCGCTCCCGGCACGTGGGCGGGGGGCGCGCGCGCAGGCGCAGTTGGTTCCGGGGGCCGCGCGGGAGGCCGGGAGCGGGCCGGGCAGCGCGGGAGGAGCCGCGGCGCGGCGCAGGTGAGGCCGGGGCGGGACGGGACGAGTGCGGCGTGCGGTGCTCGGGAGGCGCCGTCCCGCAGCCGCATCCCCGCCCCTGTGGGCCACGGGCGGCTTGGCCGCGCGGGGAGGCGAGGTGAGGCGTGGGGAGCGCAGCCTGATGGAGTCAAGGCCTCGCTTGCACTTGCGGGCGGTGCTGGGGCTCGCTGGGGCTGCTCTGCCTCGGGGCCTCCTGCGGCGCGGCCTCGGGACCCGCCCCAGGGCCGGCCCGTGCTGCGGCCGCTCCCGGGGAGCCGCTGGGAGCAGCAGCCTTCGGGCGTTGGGAGGGCTCAGCTCTCAGATGAGAGTCGAATAAAAGTGCCCTGAAGGGTTTAAGGGCTGCGCCGCAGGGGCTGCTCTCAGTGCTTGGGTTAAAGGCGTCGCTAAGCTGTGTGCGGCTAGTTGGTAACGGAGCAATTTGACTTTATACACTTTATCAGGATGCTTTAGAGTGGCAGAGAATAAACAGCCAGACTTCGTGTTAGGCTTTCGCCTGCGTGAGAATCTTGTTTTAGTCAGACATAGGAAAAAAAACCGTCAATAGATTACAAGGTATTTTTTTGCATATTTTAAAGTATCCTGTTCTGTCTGCCTAGAAATGCTAAGCTGTATGGAATATTTGATGTGTCCCTGCCCAAGTTGCACGAAATTAACAGACTGAATATTACAGTGGTAATTCGGCATGGGACAGCAGTTGAAGGTGGATAAAAACATAGTACGCTGCTTGACTGGAAACGTGATGAAAACTATGTAATTATGTATGGCACATTGTACCACAGAAATCATTAGCTTTGTCTGGCTCATAAATTTTTATATTGTTGTGCTACTAGGTTATTGCACAGGTGTGAAAAATAGTGTTAAATAAAGCATGTCAAATAGCCTAGATCTTTTTCTTCCTTAAAAGTTTTATGTGTAGTATCTCTACTAATAGCTTATTTATATGTCCGTGAGGCTTGTAACAGATCCTGAAGCTCACCATCAAGAGGTTATAGTTAGCAACTATTCATAACTCTTTGTCTAAGTTTGTATTTAGCTTATCATGAGTTACTTAATCATGACTGTTTTCAAAACATGTTTACCTCATCCTTTCTGATTTTTGTGCTATGAACTGTACACACATGGGGTTTCTTTTTTTTCTGAATTATAACCAAAATTCTTAAGGTTACTTTTTAATTGTGACTTGATATTTTTGTGATAATAGAACTTCTTTCACTTAAGACAACAGAATTGAGATAGCAAAATCTATGAAGACAATCAAGTGTTAATAATTATTAAACAGTGTTGTAGGGACTTGCTTGCAGTTTCAGGATTGCCATTGACTTGTTGGGTGCTCTACGTTATATTTAGTTAGGAAAATGTGAATTGCTGTTTGTTATTAAATAGTTTTATCGGAATACTATGGCTTCCCTTCATTTTTGAAAGACATTTAAACTGTGTTTCCTCTTTAGTCTCTTAATGTTTAATGTTCCTCCTATGCTATTGGGAGGTCTGACTGGCATGTAAGTCAGACTTGTTAATATTGAAGTAGCTAGCCTCCTTCACTACATACTTCCAACTTCTTTTTAGAAGGCTTTTTTCCTTGAATTTTGGCAGGTTATGATGAGTACACCAAGTAAAGCAATAGAGCTGCAGCTGCAAGTGAAGCAAAATGCTGAAGAGCTGCAGGATTTTATGAGAGAATTGGAGAGCTGGGAAAAAGATATTAAGGAAGTGGATTCTGAACTCAGGAAACAGAGTGGGGTCCCAGAAGAGGTAAGAAAACACAAGACCTGTGTCAACTCAGCTATTCATACTGTCATAGTGTTTATAATAATTATGTTTTGCATTAGCAAAATTACATTTTTTTACTTAAAATATCTGAATAGAAGGCATAGAATAATCCATGTGTTCGTCACTTGAAGTAAACTACAGATTCCTCTGTAAACTGCACCTCCAACAGAGCTGTGGGCCAGTAGCACCTGAAGGTGATGAGGCCAGTAAACTTTTTATCAGTTCTGGGTAGATCAGTGCGAATATTTCTGTTTGCAGCATCAGTATTTGTAATTTACTGCTGACATGTAGTATATTGAAGTGATTCTTTAGTGATACCCTGAAGACAGTTGTCTTCTAAAACTCGATTTTATGTCATATATGTAATATTTACTATTAAGTCTTTAAAGATTTATGCTTGTAGTTCTTAGTGGTTTTGTAGAGCTCATGAGAACAGCTTGCTTCATGGATTTCTAAAATAAAACTAGCCACTAGATAGGTATTCTGTCTAGATACAGGTGTTGTAGATTCTTCAGTGCAAGTGATTTCCACACATCTGTTTTATAATAAGTTACTTAATTCTATTTAGAATTTGCCACCAATTCGAAACAAGGCTTTTAAGAAAAAGAAGAAAAGCAAAAATAAAGTCCCTTCAAAGATAACCTCTGAGGAAAACAAGAAAAACAAGATCAAGTCTTATGATTATGAAGCATGGGGAAAACTTGATGTGGTGAGTATTAAGATTTGCTTTGTTGCCAGAATCTTGTCCCCAATTGATTCTGTGTTAAATAAGATTTTGTTGCAGTGCTGAGAATCAGTCCACTAGTCAGTATCTTACTGTGCTGGGTACTGTATGAACATAGGGTAGCTTTCACCCCAAAAGATTACAAATTTAATATTTGGAATATTCATAAATTATTGTTTTTTTTATTGACTGTGCTTTTATCTAGCAGATTGAATTTTAGTTTAAGGGGAAAAAAAGCTTGTTTTAACAATTAGCCTATTAGAAGGTCATAATTCTAGTAGAATATAAGACTAAGCACAGCTGTCAGTATTGGAGGACAGAATTAATGAAATCTTACTTGTATTATTTTGCACTTTTAAATTATAACGAAGACAACATTTTGTTTTTTTGTTTCTGATTCCAGGATAAAATACTTGAAGAACTTGATAAAGAAGATAGTACTCATGATTCTGTATCTCCAGAATCAGACTCCGAAGAAGATGGAATTCACGTAGATGCTGAAAAGGCTCTTGCAGAGAAGGAAAAGGTTATAGAATTATAGATGTTTATTATTGGTACAGAAGAAATTTAGGTATAGGAGTATTTGCAATTTTCTTTTAAAAGATCATCTGCTGAGACCACACATCTGGTGAAAGAATTGCCTATTTGGAAGTCTTTCTGTCCGCTTCCCTGCCCATTATTCCAAAATAGAAAATTCTCACTGCAGTTCTATTCCTTCTCATTGTTGGTAGCAGCAAGCTTGGCAGATTCTAATTAATGTATGTCTGTGATGACAAATATATTGGTCATGTTTTGCTTTGAGAAGTTGAATGGCTGTGTAGAATTGCTATATAGAGCAAACTGGTTTTTACCTGAACACAACATCTGAATGGCCCAAACTAAATCTGCAAGAACTTAAAAGTACTCCCTTTGTGAGGCCAGCACATCTGGGAATGGTGGGTGAACTTCGTTGCTTTAATAACGGAAAGTTCATACTGCTTCAGTTTTGCCTAATAGAGTAGGATATAGAAAGAGATCTGTCTCAGGCTTCGTTGCCATAAGAAGGAGGCTAAATTGTGTAGCAGCTTCTATGTGTTTGATAAGCTTCTCTGTTTGTAAGCAAACACCTAACCCATCTGCCAGTCAGTATTGACTTCAGTAGTTCTAGCTTTGGTTTGGGTTTTTGTGGAGTGGGTTGTTTGTTTGTTTTAAATTGTCTACATGGATGATATTTGTGTTGTATTCCTGCTGCTGTGGGAATTCCTTCACATGCAGTCTACACTGAGAAGCTGAGGTACCTTTGGCCATTATTATCTTGGCTGCAGTGAGATCGTTGAAGAGTGTGTGTGAGGTAAAAGTCCCAGAGGAGAAAGAAATGAAAATGTTGACTTGGAAAGCAAAGACGCCAAACCTAGTTACTGAAAACTTAAAAAAACCTCATTTGGTAATTTAAGTAGCTATGTATATGCTTGTTACACATTTCTGGAAATGACCTAGAGATACTGAAAATGAATATTTTATAGACCTCTGTTAGAGAATATATCATGAAAATTATTAAATATGGTGCACTTAGAATATGTTAGCATATTTCATAGTAAAGCAGTATGTTGTGAGGAATATTGAACTAAAATATTTAAACATTTCTGGAAGACTTTGTATTTTTAGGGTTTTTAATTGTAGCTGCCAACGTACAGTAACTTGCTGAAAATTCTGAAAAATGCTGAAAAACTTGCTCTTTTCTATTTACAGGGTAATAAATACTTTAAACAAGGAAACTTCGATGAAGCTATAAAATGCTATACTAGAGGGATGCATTCTGATCCATACAATCCAGTATTGCCCACAAACAGAGCATCAGCTTTTTATAGAATGAAAAAGTAAGACTTGCATTGTTAAATCTGTGCTATTTTTGTACTTGAAACGCTACCTTCAGATTTTTGGTCTGGTTTTAATTCTTGATTTATGCATTATGCTGTGTTGCTGCAACCTGGCTTCCAGTTTCATAGTAAAATAGGAATCACCAGGAGAAGCAGTCTGGTAGTCTCCCTCATAAGTTTTTCCTTGGCTTGCACATTAGCAGTTCACCATCTTCTGTGTTAACAGTGTAAGAGTTCAAGAAAAAAGAAGAAGAGAAAGTTAAATTGCCTTTCACATTCAGTGAGCTCTGTTTCTAAGGCTTTGATTTGTTTTGGGTGAAGAAAGGGGAGTTAGTTATTCTGTCTGTGGCAGTAGAGATTCTTTACTGCTGTTTTTCTTTCTTGTTTTAATGTATCGGAATCAAGAAACTTGTAAGTACTTGGTTTGTGCTCCTGCTGAAGCATGTAAGATTCCCATGTTATGAAGAACCTGGTGAGCCTCAGAGTAAGATGAACTGCTGAAAATTTGTG